CTCTTCTCTATGAGGTCATTCATAAAGGTAATGCCTTATCTCATTAGAACATACTAGTCTGCCATTCAGGTAGTCTGAGACTGGAGTAGAGAACATGACTCAAATGTGAAACAGATAGGCATTAACAGATTTTTTAAGACTGAAAAATACCAGCACACACTTCCATGCTAAAGTTTTTTTCTGAAAATTGAGCAATAAGCCAGGTTCTATCAATTTGTGGTTTTGTTTTTTTTTTTTTATTTTTTTTTAAGTTGCTGCTGCTAAAACAAAAATACAATTTATCTAAGTCCCATGTAGCAGCAAAGTGCCAAGAAAAAGGAACTGGTCATTTTGGTCTTTTACATCCAGGGATTAGTGGACCTCCAGCTGTGAGTAAATAAGGAGCATGTGTTAGAACTGAGGCCCAAACTTCCCATAACATCACTCATGTATTTGTTTCTCCTCAGTCTAAGAGCTCTTTTGGACTTAGATTGCAAAATTTTAACCCAGTTAGACTTCTGTGGGAGCTGTACTGGTTCACTGGACCAAGGCTTTGATTGCAGCAATCACTGCATCCTTCCTGGTGCATTTCAGAGACACTGAATCCAAACATAAAGGGTGGGCAGTTTCCAGTCTCATGGATGTTATAAATGGGATGGGAAACACTAGAGTAAAAGGTATGCCATGGTCCACTTCAAGTCCATTGTGCCAGTAAGCTAAAAATAAAAATACCCTCATGTCCTCAGATGACAAAGCCAGGAACGTTCTCTTAGAGGGGAATATGTTGGTGCAGGACAGTGAGTCTTTATTTGCTTCTTATAAAGTCCTGGCATTTTTATGAAGGCATCCTTAGAAGACAGCAGGTTCCCATGTGTTAAAAATATTTCATACTATTGCAAAAAGGCCAGTTTTCAATATAGAAACAGGTCTGGGCTCTGCACTTTACCACCTGCAGTTACACTATCTTCATCTTTATTCTTGTTCTAAAAAAAAACCCAACTGAAAGAAGCAAAAAAAAAAAAAAAAAGCTGTTTTACCTCAGCAAACCAGGAATCTGTCTGTGACTCCTCAGTTTATGGCCAATTGGATATTAATCCTTTCTACCTATATCCCAGAAGAAAACCGTATCTCTTGTGAACATCATTCTCCTTACCAGTCAGTTTGGTCTCTCCCACTCTTGTCTGCTGTGGTGACTCTCAGGAGTCTCAAACATTTGTAACAGCCACACTAATGTATGCAAAGTACTGAGGCAGCCTGCTGTATGAACTCACTCTAGGAACCAGAGTACCTGTGAAAATTTTGTCCACCTTCTGTCTTTCCAGAATCAGAAGGGGCCAATTTTCTCTTAAGGAGATCCAAATATATGGGTATTTTCACAAGCCTCGGTCTTAATTCAAGCTGTTTTAATATTGATTTTAAGCAGTGACAAAGTGGAGAGATTCACAAAATGATAAAGTGTAAAAATGTCTGACTGTGGGGGAACTGTACTAGAAACACACATGTTTATGGCCTGGATTTTTATCTAAAAA